TTGATGCCCAGAGGCAGCCCTATGGTCCCCATCTAATCTCCACCTTTCAGCTAACCTGTCCCCTCTGGTAATAACAGACTGGAACAGAAATCTGCCGTTGATCCCATCTTGGGCAGTTGTTGGTAAGAGTTCCTCTAAAGTCCCAGGGGAAAAAACTCTTTGAAACACATGGAGAAACCCCAAAGAAAGTTTGAGCATCATCATTTGGCACAGCTTTTTTAAGGAACTGGTCCCTAGTCTTTGTGGGAATTGCTTTGTCTATGTGGCTCTCCCTCCTGAAGATGTCAATGAGGTCATGTTCTCCATTCTGTTTTCTGGCTTCCAACTCTGCATGGTCTCTGCGTCTGTGACCTCTCTTGGCTCTCAACCTTGCTCAGCACCTGCTCAGTCTGAGGCCAGCACTTTGCAGCCATCCAATCCCTGCTGCCTGCTCCAGATTCACACAGTCTGGGTCCCTTTCTGTTGCCCTTCCTCAGATACCAACTGAAGTGCTGTTAAGCCCAAGAGAGCTCACCAATTATTCTGACCAATTCTCAATGTGTGTTTTACTTAGATGGTCAGATTCTAGTCCCTCTCTTCCCAGCCTCCAACTGGCATCTTTTAACTTGCCACTTGGTCTTTTTCATATATCTGTGTCCAGACCATGTCCCACTGGATAGGGACACTTTTCTGAATCAAACCTGAGTTTGCAAGTTCATTTAAAAATTGCTCAGTGGCTCTTCATTCAATTCTTTCTGTGTGGAGCCCTTGACATTTGGTCAGTCTCCTTCATGGCTACCCAGAGTTGCTGCCATGTCCCTGCTGATATATGATATTGAGGTTCATGGGTTTCTCACCTGGAAAATACCCAAGATTTGGCAAATCTCATCATCCCAAGTCTGCTTGATAGGTTTCCATTCCAGACCAGCGAAGGCCAGTAGCTAACAGTTTCCCTCCATATATCCTTTTCTAAAAGGCCCTGTTCTGAAAAATAGTATACACTTGAGAAAGTTAGAATCCACTGAATTGAGTTATCACTCTCAAAAAGCTCAATCTGATGATTTTTCATCAGACTCATTTGGAGAATAGGTAGGAAGATGGGGTGGATCTTATAGATTATCTCACATCATTCCTACACATTATAGACAGGAAAAGTGAGGTTTGGAGAAAGCCTTTTCCAGAGCCTCAGAGCTAGTGGCATAACTAAAACTAGAACTTTGGTGTCTGAGCTCTTTATAGACATTGGAGGATCATGCATACTGCCTGATCCCAGACTGAGTAACATGAGAAATTTTAATCTTTAACTTATCATCTTTAGGTTAGTATCAAGTTGCTAAAAAAAAAAAAATTCTAAAAACTCATACTTTTCCCTCTTTCTAAAGCCCTGAATTCTACTTTTTCATTCCTCTCTTCTCCTACCCTTTCCCCCAACTATGGAGAGCAACTGTATAGCCAAAACAGTTTTGCAGAATCCAGTCCTCTCCTCTTTTCCTATTCTCTCTTGCCCAGGAAATAGAACTAATATAGTGCCTTAATATTCCTAGGGAACATTATTATCGTTTGATATGCCAACGTGATAATTGGCAGTTTGCCAATCTTGTCATTTTAGAAGCAAATTGGCTTAAGTAATCTCCTAAAACACCCTCTTCCAAGGGACTTTTTTTTTTCCCCCCATGCAGAAGACAATATCTGTCATGTCCAACTGTGAGGAACAGAGGAAATAATTCCCCTACTAAGTGATACAAAGAACTTTTTTAAAAAGCTTTTGCAGTCCTTCTTTTTAAATAAAGCTGTTTTTAACATAAAAATTCAATGCATGCTCACAGGATTTCAGTGTTGTCAAATATTCAATTTAAACTCTCCTCGTTATTTACATTCTCCATCCTAACAACCATTATTACACAAGAGAGTTTTTTTTTTCCCTGCAGTGAGCATTCATCCGACGTGGGGTTGGTGTTATTACCCAGGCAATTCTTTTCTGCAGTATGCCGTGTTCCAAAGCCCTATCTCCATTGTTCCCTTTGTGCTATCCAGCACCAAGTGGGCGTCCTCCACCATAGCAGACAGCGATTTCAAGTCTCTCAGTAGTGAGTCTGATTCGAATTGATCGATTGGAGGGAGCACAAACCATGCAAGGCTCTCTGCCCAGACAAATAAAAGGCTGATGTTCTCTTTGCCCGACTCTCACCTTCAGCTTCTGATGTCAGAACTGGCTACCCCAGCCTCTTCTGTTTCTCAAACAGACACTTTCAGGCATGCCTGCTAACAGACTAAACAATGCTGCCTCATTTCTTCTGTAAGGACTCTGGCAGGTGCTATTTCTTTCTGGCTCCAGGGCTAGTAGGTAGAAACAGAGCATTCTCTTTGGGCTTCACATACGGAGGCAGAAGGTAATGGAATGAGTCTTGTTAAGGATTGATGATAGATACACATCTGTGTTTTCGATGACACCTAGACTACGGGATACAATCTATCACCATAGCTCAGATGAGAGCTTCCCTTCTGCTGCTCTTGAGCACACATTGATTTGATTTCAGATTTGAGGTTCTTTGTTTTCATGGTTTAGGATATTTGGTAATAAAATTAAGTTGCCTTTGTCAAGTCAGCTTGAACCGGGTACCTATTGGACAATTGCAGAGTCACAAAAATGAAGAGTGAATGAGTCAAGGACCATATGAGAGGTGAGTGGAAATGGTACCAAAAGAACATCACCCCATTGCAGCTGAGGAGGTGGGGTAATAGAACCTCTCCGGATGATTGGAAATTCTCTGAATGCTGTAGGGAGTTTATGATATTATAATATTCTGGGCAAAGTCATTGCAAACACTACTTAATGATGCAGGTGGTATCTGAGATCTGTTCATATTCATTCTTCTGGGTTGCTTTAATTCACATTCCCGAACACTGAAATAATCTTAAAGTAGGAGATACTACTTCATTAGAGTGTGTGACAGTAAAAATGCAAAATCACTCTTTAATATTCTTTTAACTTTAAATTTTATATAGTAGCTGGGACCATTGACTCCATCCCTTTCTTGCCCCTCTTTACCCACAAAAATAGGGATTGAAGAAAGAAAAGTTACTTGCTTTATAAAAGTCTCATTTTCACTACTCTCAGAACATTGCTAACCTTCAGTCTCTTAAATTTCCACCCCTTATTGTTACAACACTTTGATGAGCCTAGTTCATAAACAGAATTTCAAATTGCATTCATGATTATTACTTGTGAAAAATCTCTTCAGATCCTTGAAGCAGTGAAACTGAACTATTTTACCAGTGTACGGATGTACACATGCATGCCACCTTTTTTCCTCTCACCTCTTGGATTATCAAAGTCCCATCTTCCACAGATGATAAGAAAACCCTCAGTAGGACAAATATTGGAAGCTAGATACTGCTGCCACAGAGAAGCTAACCAGAAAACCAGAACCTACTCCCTGAAGGAAAGGAATCAGTAGGGCAAGCCATCACTGAAGGAGCTAGGAAAATAAAGATGACTTCCATTTAGGTTCTGGGTTCTAGGAATGAGGACCAAGGAGCAGAGTTCAGGGCAGAGCAGTCTGTCTAAGGGAATCATGTTGAGGAATGTACTGGGAGACTACAGTCAGGTATTTGAATATCTTTCCATCTGAATAGCTCGGGTACACCAGGCTCTAGGTGAAAGCATAACAACATATTCTTCCACCTTGCTCATGGGCAGCCCAGGTTGTCTATGGCTTAGGGACCTCCTGAACCTTTTGAGTCCCCAATAGGACTGAGCAGAAATAAGCATGCTCCAACCCCACAGGGATTCAGTGTCCATCCTCTGCGTTAAGGATCCTGGCTACAACCAACCCCATGCCTGCTTCTCTGGCATCTGTAAAGTGGAGAATTCTTTGAATTCTAAGGCAGATATCTGACCAAAAACATAGAAAATGTTAATTGGGGACAATAAAGAAAACCTAGAGTGTCAAGGGGCAGACATATTTGGCAAGCTGGTGTCTTAGACCTTCATGCCCATTTGTAGTGAGCCAACTTCCTGGAATAGGGGGCTCATGTATAGTAAGCTGATTTATGGAGTGGGATAGGCTCAAACTCACCATGTTTATGACTCAGCAATGTCTATCTGACATTTATTACTGCTCACACAGACTGGCAGTCATAAATTCAGCATCATGTTTTTCAGTTAAATGGCTCTTATCATAAGACAAAGGAACAAAGGGGAATAATCCACAGCTGTGCTATTCATTTTGCATCTTACAAAGAACACACAAAAAAGTATAAAAATAAAAGGTTGTGTTGTAATAGATTCTTATTTATTTGCATATATACTCTGTACAAATATTTTATGAACGCATATGCTGAACTCTGCTCTACCTGTGAGAACACTTGGAGGAGCTGCATATCCAATCCTTCTGTGCTAGAGCAAAACTGATCATGAGTCTTCTAACTAGCTGCTCCAAGACCCAATAACAGAATGGCTGGCCTTTAGCCACATGCAAATGTGAAGTTCTTGTTCTGATTAAAAGCCCAAACTGACAGGTAGAGCAGCATCAAGCTCAAGGAGAGGAAGGGGTTCTAGAAGGATGCATGAGTCTGGTGGGGGTGGGAGTCACAGGGATAGCACCTGGAATGCTCTGGCTTCTGCTCTACAGGGAAGCCTCTCATTATAGGTGTTATACTACCAGTGGCCCTCTCCCATTTAAGGCTATTTCATCACATATTTTTAAAAATGAGAATGATCAAGATGAGGAATACAGACAAGATGGTTTTAAATCTCTTCCAGATCTTCGTTGGCCAGCTCCATGTGACACTGAATGATGATTAGCTAGTTGGATGGTCAAGAAGAGGGAAGAAGAAATACCCAGGGTTTGTTGAACATCACTGTATAAGAAGAAACTGGATGAGATTCACATTAAATACTGAGTAACCACAGTTCAGAAGAATTACATAACTTGCACAAGATCCAAAAGAAAATAAATGGCAGAATCATATTTTAAATCCAGGATTTTCTGAATCTATAACACATTTCCACAACAGCATAGTTTTGTCAGGAACTTTATATTCAGTAAGTCATTGCTAAACTTATACACAAAAGATAAACACATATGATCCCTTTATTATTTGTTGTAATTTGTATTACTGGAGTTGACAGAAAGAGAAATCACTTTGGTTTTGTTTTATTTTGTTTTGTTTTTACTCTCAGGAGTTCCCATCCCTATCATCAGATGAACTTTAGCTAAAAAAGATAACTGCAGAGGAAAAATGATTTGTTCTCTTTAAATTCCAACAAAAAGTCAGATAATATCAGAAATGTCCTAAAAGTACAGACCACACTCTTTCTTGTATTATATTGACAGAGAAGAGGCCCTAAAGTAACTAAGACATGTGTTACTATATAAACATGTACAAGAACTGAGGCCAAGTTCACACAGAGAAAGACTTACCATGCATATGGGAAGCCAAGCAGGTTTTGAACCAGTGAGTGTCAGGGAAAAGAAAAAAAATCTCTTATTCAATTCATTTATACCTGGACACTATCAAAGAAGCCAATGGTTGATGAAAGTCCCAAGATGAGACATGATTTGATCACAGACCCCCATGGATAGCTTACAAGGATACTTGATTAACTTTCATCACAATTAAACTCTCTATACCTAAAGGACACTGAGAAATGGGAGCTTATATAAAGAGGTAGGAAATGGGCTTGTAATTGGCCTTAAATTAATTGGCAAAGTAGGAGATAATGCAGAGTAAATATTATAAAAATATATCCAGTCAAAAGTGGAAATTTCCTGGCTTTTAAAAAAGTCTCCAAAATGCCACATATTCTCCACATATTGAATTTATTTTCTTGTCACCAGTTACTTTTTTAAAAATAGCAGCACACTACAATTAAGCAAAAGAGGTTGGAAAAAAGGTCAAAATGACAAAACTTCACAAACTTCTGAAAATGCAGTTTTTAGTGTCAATCATCATGAAAATGGAGCTAACAAGTAATGAGAATTAATTCTCAGGAAGGAGGAAAAACTCAATCCATATTGATGCATCTAATGTCAACCACCATAGATACCTGGGAGTGAGAGTCTATCTTTTCTCCTCAGATTATGCTGTCCCTAGGGTGCTGGCAGCTTTGTCTAGGAAGACTCCATATTGATGTAGATTCCCTTCCTTATACAATAGTTATCCTTCTTTCCATTATTCTCAAATCCAGACAAAGAGATTATGTTTTTGACAAAGTAGAAAACTATTCCTACGACATTGCTAATGCATATGTAGTGTTGATAATTTCTTTGGAACTAGTATCATGGAAGCTAACCACATCCTCCCATTATTAGTTTTTTGGTGACTATTCATAGGCAAAATAGTAGATTCATGGGAGGTGGGGTTGACTCTTTGGAGAGTCAACACTTTGGACATGGCAACTCTTTGGGCAATCAAAAATATCACTAATTCCTGGTTAACAGTCCACCAATAATGAAATTAATTTCAAGAAATAAGGGAATACACATTAAAAGATCGATCTCAAAATAGAATCTTTGACCATTGACTTGACAACACAGAGGAAGCCTTAAATTGCATTTAATTACATGAAGAGCAATAACTCAAGTAGAAATTTGTAGAGAAATCTCAAAAGAGAGTTGGAAGCAATAAGGGAATTCATTAATTGCATGTTGTGATTTCACCTTTTTCTTTAAGTAAACATAAATAAATAAAACTTATCAGCCAAATGTGCTGCATTGTACATTAACCTCAATTCTCTCGAGTGGAATCATCCTTAGCCCTTTCTGATCCTTTTGACCTCATGGGAACTTGGACTTGGACTTGAAACAACCCCCACTGCCTTAAAAGTCTGACACATGACAGTAGTTGAACTGTTCTTAAGAAGCAATGTACCCTGCTAATGGTAGTTGGAGGGTTGGTAGAAGTAAAATTAGATTTTTTTTCTTCACTCATAATTTGAAGATTATAGAATGCGGTTTTTAAAGGTCAGAATGCATTACTAATTGAGTTGAGGCATTTGAAATTAGCAAATAAAACTGCTACTCATAATAGTGATTAAGTAATAATTAATCATACAGGCTGAAATGGCAGCAAAGTAGAGCCAGCAGTAAAATTATTTTTTTAACTAGTTACCACACAGCCTTCAGAGAGTGCTACTAAGTAACCATAAGATATTAATTCCATTTCTTTCCTCTTTAGGTTATATTCTTAAAAATATATTTTAAAAAAAAATGTTAATGGTTTCTCTGGATGATACAATCACAGGCAGATTTTTCACCTGCACAGACTCTCTTGCAATTATTCAGAAATATGTGCTATTTTGTCTTTCCCTAATCTTTTATTTAGCAATGTGAAGGAATTAAGGGTTATAATACCAACCTTAAACCCACTTTTTAAAATATAAATCACTGAAAAACTTGAACCTTTTAACAATTATAATATGGAATTATTCCATCTATTCTTTAAAATCAATGCTAATTCTCCCCTGCTGAGATTTTTTTTAAACATTTTATAGTGCTTCCAGGTGTTTTGTTTGTCTGTTTGTTTCACTAGGTTTGTATTATCCAGTCTTGGGTTTGATGCCCTCAGTCTATGCTGGAAATTTCAGGATTTCATTTTGTTTTTGCATATTAAATTCCAAGCCAAATGTATAAACATGAATATGACGATAAAATATTCACGCAGTTGATTTGACAGCATATCTCATTCTGGAAACAAATTAAGGCAGCATTTACATAGAGATTTACATTTGATGCATTTGTTGTTTATTATTAATTAGCTAATCCACACAATAAACCTATGAGGTAGTTTAGCATGCCTTTAGTATGAACAAATTAGTTAAGAACCAGAAAAAGAAAAAAAAAATCTGTCCCCACAATAAAATGTTGATCAGACCCTTCTTATTCTGGTCACAAAAGAAAAAAAAATCAATTCCTTGGACAAGCTGATCAAACAAACAATAGATATTTAGTTTGGATGGAATGTGGAGAGTGTAAGTTTATTCCCTGGCAGTTTAGAAAGGTTGTTTTCTTATTGGGGCTCTAATATTCAGTATTCACACTAATCTGTCAGAAGCACCTCACTCAAAAATCAAATCTGCAAGAAATGTGAACACCCCCACTGCCTCAACCCCATTACCACCAGAGCTCAAACTTCCCTACAGGAGCATTCACATTTTGCATGTATTTTATATTTTTGTCTTTTGGCCTGGTTGGTCCAATAAACTCACTTCAGCAGAAAGGTGTGAAAATTCTTGGCAAGCTAATTTATGTTTGGCTGTCATCTAAGAGGCCAATGAAAAACAAATTCTATTGGTCTTTGTAGTCCAGCAACAGCAGACGAGAGTTTTATGACTATTTTTATCAGCAGAAGGAATCACTGTAGTCCTCGATACTTAGCAGATTGCTTTATGACCATATTTATTAGTTCACTGGGCTGTGGAGACTGTATATAAAGAAAGCTCATTAATTTGGGTTTCACTACCATGGCATTTGTGGCCATGTCACAGGTGCTAGGCTGAAGCTTTTTCAATGCACTGCAGAGGAAGACCTTTTTGTAAAGTGAATTTGAATTGCATGACCAGAACTGTAAAGAATGATTATCTCTTTGAGTGATGGGCTGGACATGTAGTTCAGTGGTAGAACACTTACCTAGCATATCATGGTCCTGGGTTCTATCCCCAGGACCACCAAAAGAAACAAACAAAATGATAAAACACACACACACACACATACACACACACACATACACACACACACACGAAGATGGACCATTTCAATAACTTAACACTGTTCTTTTAAATATAAATCATTACTCGCTAATATAAGGGGGGCATTGGGTTTGTGTGTGTGTGTTGTAATTTTAAATCATTTTTCTCTTATAGCAGGAAAACTTTAAATGGACTATTTAGTTTAATTAACATTACTCCAAGGATTCTGGAATAACAAAAGTACTTCACTTACTGATAGTTTAGATAGTTTCTCTTTTCTAACTAGATGAGTTTCTTCTTAAGTTCACTTGAATTGATATTTTACAGAAAATCCTTTGTCTCAAGTTCTCATGTGCTATAATCACATGTCTATCAGAGAAACTCCAGGGCTGATGGGACCATAAGACAGGGACATAGCCAGGTTTGCACAAGTCTCTTTCCTCTCCGTGGGAATTAATTAGCCATTTGGAAACATTTACCTGAAATCACATTCTCCCCCACTCATAATAAAATTAGAAAGTGAATTATGACTTAATTGAACACATGTAGCCATACCAAAACAAACAAAGAACAAGAAACAGGTAGCTTCCCAAGTAGAGATGTTTCTATTCAAGAGTTCCCAAAAGATAAACAACACTTATATGCCCTTCCAGCATAAAACTGAATATACATGGTACACTGGAAAGATAATTTTCCTCATCTGCATGAGAAAAAAAAAGAAAGAAAGAAACTAGGGAACAATCAAACAGACAAAACTTCTGGCAGGGTAGTCACTTTCACTTGGCAGGTTGCCAAAGAACAATGGTATTTAGATGAGCAACTCTGAAAGAATCTGATTATTATAGCTGAAAGCTTATCTATAAAGAGTTTGGCATAGCTTTTCTGTATAGCAAAAGAAATCTGTGTTCATAGGCTTTTCTATATTAGGTTATTAGAAAAATAAACACACTTCAGGGCATGAGCTCAGTCACTAAACACAAACAGAAACAAAGATTTTTTTTTTAACTCAGACAATGCTTATTTTACAGCAGAATTGACAAATAAAGCTTTATTTTACACATTCAAAAAAAAAAAAGCCATCACCAGAGGTTTATACCTCTGTTTTGTGTGCTTCTTTCCAAAACAGCAAAATAGACATCCTCCCATCAAACCCTCCTTCCTCCCGTCAGGGCCACATGTGGCTGGTGTGGCTGCTTCTCTCTGCAGACACAGAAACTGGCAGCCCTGGTCCCTCCTGAGTGAACCCTCCTCAAGGGAAGAGTGCCAAATTCCAAACACAGGAAAGCAGGCACATTAATAACAACACTGTGCATTTCTGTGTCATTTCATTTATTGCTCACTGAGTTATAACCACCTTGGCTCTCCGCAGAAAACAAAGGATGCCCACCTGGAGATCAACCGCCTGTGGTCACAAGGTGCAAAGGGCAGCCCGGGCCAGATTCCAGCTGGAGCCTGATAGCATCCTGAATGGAAACTCAATGTCCTGGCTTGTAGCCAGCCTGCAAGACACCACTTCTGGTCACCATGGGGAATGAAACCTGGAGAAAGAACTTTAGGATTTGCACTCAGAGATGTTCCCCATCATAGAGGGATGATTTTTCCGGTCATTCTATCCAGTTGTGTTCTTCCCAAAGTGATGGACTCTTGGCTCAGCAACAGGACTTCGATGAGAAACAGAAGAAATAGGGGACCTTGTGCTATCCAAGGCTGCTGTTTCTTCAGGATTTCTTCACTTCATTCCAATTCATCAGTACCCCAAATTAATGCCCACCATTCAGGCCAGCTTCATAAGAAATGCAAATTTCCATCTCATTCTGGGGTACATGATTTTTTTTTTGGATGCCTTCAGTAAAAGATTTTACCAAGGTCAACTGCTGTGAAGTCATTTTTGCCTAAGAGGATCATCATGCAAGCAAACTAATTCTTTTCCTAAGCTACTATTTGGCAGCTTGCAGAAGACTTGGCTTCACCTTGAGAAACCGTCCTTGGAGTGATCAGAAGAAAAGGCTAAAGATTCTTCCTTTATTCATCCTCCTTGCTCTCATTCAGATGGCAAGCCTGGCTCACGTGTTTGAAGGTGAAGGACTGGTATTTGTCCATTATATATCTTCTACTAATAATGATTTGTTCAGATTTGTGCATGTTGCCACCGATTATGTTCAACATGATGACAAAAAAAAATGTTTATTTCTGGATAGAAGTGATTTACATCACAATCATCAAGGATTTCATAGAATATTTATACTCTGAGGAAATCTAGAATAAATTGAAAATTAAACTTTTTCACTCTTTGTAAGTTTGAATAATGCTCTAACTATAGGATTATAGGATTATAATTTAGAACATGTGCTAAATATGTTATCAGGAAAGAATTATTTTAAAAAAATCAAGCCAAATATCATGACTTACCACAAAACTTAAAAAAAAAAAGGAAAGAAAGAAATCTCATTCACTTTCCAAAATCAAGATAGTCATATGTTAATCTGTGAATCCTCATAAGAAATGTTCATTGTTCAAGAAGGGATCCTCCTCTAATGGTTGATAAGGGATTCTCCACAGCAGAGAAATGCTGGCATTTTTAAAATCTCTTGATTGATGTTTTCACTACTTATTCTTCAGGCTATAAGACAGAAAGGAACACAGTCTTACCTTCTTTCATATCACATATTCCAATGCCCCTCTCTTCTCTCTGCCTGCCTCCACCCACCTCCACCTCCACATTATTTCAACCATCAAATTTCGATAAAGCTGAATTTATACAGTGAATCTTTTAGGTGTTAAATAACCTTGTGTGTATAATAACCCAATTACCAATGCTATCTCCATGTATGTAGAAGAAAATTTATACCTCTACATGGCCGGTCCAGATACTAAATTCATTCCAAATGTTCCAAACATAAAAATAATAAATTTATTTTTACTTATGGCATGCTGCATATATTCATCTTTACTTTTCAGATATAACAATGTAACAAATTGTTCAGAGCAGAGAATAATGTTGTTAACACTTATATTTCAAAGTAATATTGGCTTCCTTCTGCATTCATTCAGAATTTTCTGTTAATAGGGAAAAAATGTTTCTGGCTTTTTTCTCAAAAAAGTATCGATTTTAAAGGCTTTTAATTACTTTTCTTTCTTTCTGTTTAGGAGATGCTACCATTTATTACATACCTACTATGTGTCAGTCATTTCATATTTATTCTATATCATGACTTAATCCCCACAACTCCTTTAAGGTGAGTGCCACTTCCTCTTTTTGAAGGTGAGAAGACTAAGGCTTAAATTAGCTAAGTCAATAGCATATAATCTTACAGTTGTTAGAGACAGAATCTGAATCCTGAAAAATAAAATCAAAATTAGGGGGCAACAGAGCTTTGTTTGACATTAAAGTACAGGGGATTTCGCTCATGGTATTGATGTGTTCTGACTGAAACAAGGCTGTCAAAATAGTGTCTTCTAGTAGCTGACTGTGAGCCTTAAGGCCATATTTTAGGGAAGAGTATGGTGCAAGTGCTAAAGTGGGTTAGAACCCTTTTGTAGACTTTTGTGTCCCTCATCACTAAGATCCAATGCCTTAATAGAAATCTGATAAGTCAAAGTTCAAAAGCTACAAAGGAAAAGTCTATTGACTCACCTAGAAACAAACAGCATATCTTGAAATCTCATTTTCCAAGAAAAGTGCTGTCATAGAATATTCTAGGATCTGAATAAGAATTTGAATGTTGTTGGTAGAATGCAGACCAAAAGAAAATAAAGACTATAAGCATTTAAAAAAATAGCTTTGAAATTTTGCCTTGGAATGATCCAGGTAAGCACAGCCATTTTGTAATAGTTGCTATAAAGAGAAAAATTCTGTTTGAAAAAATCTCACATTCAGTTTCCACCACCATCCGGTCATGACCTAAGGAAATTCTACAGTCATTCTCATCTTCATGAATTAATGTGACATAAAGATTGGAAGTTCACACTGAGCAAACAAGTATAATTTCATTTTTATAAACTGCAAAGATGAACACTTCTCAAATTAAAATGAGCTTGAAGCATAGCACCTCTGTGTCATAGTAAAAAGACCAAACGAATCCTCAGCTGAGCTGTCTTCAGTCATGATTACATCATTAGATGAGACTAGATGAGAGGTTCTTTTTTTTTTCAACTTATAGTAAAAGTGGTATATTAAGAACTTAATCCCATAATGAGTGAAAATATCATTGGTTTCCTTTTTATAGTCAGCATAATTATTTGGATCCTTTCTGAACACATAGAAGTAATGACAAATTAAAATGCCTTTCAATTCCATACAGCTTTTATAATTATTCATGCATTACTGTTATCATTGCTGGAATGGATCCTTCAGATTTTAGTCAGCATTCCATTTGAAACAAAAGAACATGGAAAATTTTATAGCTATTAATAAATATGCAGCCATGCAATCTAAGAGGAAAATTCTTTTTCATCTGAGAGATAAACTGCATAATTCATGTATTCTCAGAAATTTCTTTAAATAGAAAATTGAAGAAAAGCATGAGAAAAAAAATTGTTATATTGTTTCTATTTGCAGTGAGGGGCAATCTTTGTTCTCTAAGTCTTAAATCTGATTTGATTGGAAGGAACAATTTCAGCTGCATCCTATATACTCCAGTCACATAGTCCATCTGCCGAATTTTCTATATAACAATAAACATTATGCCCACGTGACCTCTGTTTCATTTTTGCATCATTATCAAAAAAAAACTAACTAGATGTTAAGAGAGACTTTATTAGTATCATGGAATGTAATTAGAAAAAAATTAGAGTCATTAAGAATGGATACCGACATTCCACCAAAAGAGAAGTTTCCATGTCAGGGAATGGTGGAGCTGCATCTAATTTCTGTGAACTCCAGACCCCACTGGAGCTCTAGCCATACAGGGATGTGATGGCCTGCAGGACAAGTCAGATGAGAATCACACCTGCAGAACCAGGTAAGTACCAAAAACTCCTCTTCTTTCCACTATCCTCTCTTTTCTACATCCTGACTTACAATGACCTAGAAGAGGGGTGATGCTCTGAACTGGGTATCAGACAGAAGTCTTTATGCAGACAGGTTAAACCACTGAAAGTGATCTCACTCTCAAAAATGCCAAGAAATATATACAATCTTCCTGAGACATTATCAAGATGAAGAAGTACATAAAAAGAGACTTGACCACCATGTGTTCACAGGGAGTAGCTAGAGAGAAGTTTAATGATTTATTTGTCACACACTAAATTGAAATTGTCCAATAAATCAATTAAAAAATAAAGCAGAGCACTCTCAATTATTAGAAAGTCTAGCTTCTGATAGCCAGATAGTAAGTTCACAGTCACAAACAAACCAAAAACCACCATGTCTATGGCTCAAATGAAATGATAAGGATAAATTTGTTAGATGCAGAGGAGTCACAGACATTTTCCACAACCATGTTGCTAAACAGTCATGACTTTGACATTATTCAATCTGTCACTTGAAAGTGAATGACACCAAGAACTTAACACCTTTGCTCAATTTACCAAAATAGTACCAATGATAAACCAAGTGAAATTATATCTTCTACTTTCTATTCTGTACCCCGCCTCCTACCCCTGTATTCCCTATCTTCAAGGCAGAAATTTAGATTTTTGCCTAGACTGGTTTCTTTTTCTTCTTTGGTCTATAACCAATCAATCGCAAATCTTTTGACTTCTGCTTTGACTCTTGAATATACTATTTACTCTGCATCCAGTGACCCATACCTTATTCCAGGCTCTTGACATTTGTATTAGACTTTTATCTGGCACCTGTGCAACCATCATACTAGAGGTTCAGTGCTGTGCCAGCAGCCCAACACCTCCTGGAGAAAATAAAATATCTTTGCATGATACACAAAGGTCATTGATGATGTGATTGCTGCCTTTTTCTCTAGTGCCATCTATTGTAAGTGAACCTTGCAGGATTACCCTACATCTCCATGACTCCAGAGAATTACTTGAGGTTCCTAAACCTGCCATGTTCTCCTGTACTGCTTCAGTGTGCACAGACTGTTCTTTCTACCTAGAATCTCACCTCTGCTCCCTTCCCTTGCCCACATCCTCTCATTCTCTGTGGAAGCATGCCTCTTCCACATATCCTTTTCTGAATTCACCCTGACACCACACAATGTACTTGGGATATTTTCAGTAGACACTTGGGATTGGAGAACAAAACCTCAATAGCCAAAAGCTGCAGGAAGTAATCACTAAATTTCTGGGTTAAAGACAAGGGGTCTAGTGTTCTTTGTTTCCAGGAAGGTTGTATGTCAGGAGATTAAAGGGTTTGGGGAACAAAAAGAACAGAAAAAGACCATGAGAGCAGGGAATAAGACAGAGAGAGAGTGTAAAGCCAGGTAGGTAGTGTTGTACGGTGTATAGTGCTCTCTCTGAATGATACACAAATCTTAAATAGTTGTCTAAACAAATAAGTTTTGGCAAAGTGTTTGTTTTTAGTGTAATTCTATGTAGTCTAATTGATACAGGGGCAGGGTAGGAGGAAGACACATTCAAATGCATAAGGGGAGAAAGATGCAGAAAGAACATAAGGCATTGTGAGTTTAAAGTGAAGGCCTGGCTTTCACCCTTAACATGTAGTCCTGTGTCAGTTCAAGATGAAATGAAGGTGTGATGGGATCAGCTGACATCTCTGATTTCTAATAAGCACAAGATGTATCTATCTAAGTTCTTGAACAAACAAATCCTATATACTATAACCTAAGGGATAAAGATATACTTGAAGATAATTGGGCTAATTCAGAGAAAAGTCAGGTATTATAGACAGAAATGATGAACGTTCAAAAGTACAGGGTATTTAAAATGAATGCAGCTTACTTCTTAATAGACATAGACTAGCAAAATTGATAAGAACGATTTGTAATTAACTTACCAAAACACCTAAGAAAATAAGCCTCCTCTGCTTATATAGAATTTGCGTTGTTTATATGCAAATGAATGCTCCTGATGTACTTCAGAACAGTTTAGTCCCTTAAGAAGGCAAATATTCTTTTTATAATCTTGTTTACACTATTCATTTGCTTTGCAAAACATTTTTCATAAAACCTCAAAATAATGAAATGTTAGAGCCAGAAGGGACCCCAGGGATTGTCTAAGAAAGTCCGACATCATCATTTCACAGATGAAAAAACTTGAAGGAGCCCCTAAGACATATATATTCTTGCTATTCCTGAGGTCTGCAGCTTCATGCCTCAATCCCCTGTTCTGGGGTGACTCCATGCCTCCTTTGCAGACTTTAGCCACAGTAGGCAAATGCAAACAGAACAGGAACCTGCAGAGTGCTAGCCTTGGAGGCATCATTAGTATGCATTAGTCTCCTAGACTGAAGTCCAAAGAGTCCAGCTCCCCTTTCCATTCACCTATGGAACAGGAAGCCTGGTTAATTCCTGTTTATTTCTAAGCTTCAGTTTCTGCATTCTCTCGTCCAAACTTTCTGTGCTGCACTTATCCACCACCCTTTTTTCCTAGTTGGGTGCCTCTCCTAAGTGCTTTCCTTCATTATTTCATTAACCATCTCATATTACAATACGTTGTTTATGGTCTTTGCTCCCATCAAATAAGCCTGGGAACTGTGTCTCT